CCAAGCAGTGCACCCATCTCAGGTCTGGCATCCGTTCCCACCTACCTCCACCTCACCCCTCCAGTCCAAGCCCGGTCAGGTCCCCCACTGGCAACTCAGTTCCTCCTGCCACCTGCCACTCTGCTCCCTTTCACCGCTCCCTCCAGCACGGCAGGCCAGCAGGCTCTTAGAAAGGGAGTCAAAGCATATGCCTCCTGCTTTAAAACCTACCAGCAATTCCTATCCGCCCCACCATGGCCTGGCCCCTGACCACCCCGCTGACCCCTTCCCTGACACTCTCCATCCTTCCAGCCCTGCCTGGCAACTTCTAGAACATGCCTTCCTTCCTGCTTCGGGGCCTGAGGACTGCCCGGACTGTCTGCACTCCCTCTCTCCTTTGGGCTCCCGGATCCCGTGTGACCCTCAGGGAAGAGCCAGGCCTTCCACAGTCAGACTGCCTCCGCTCTGCCGCTCTCCTCCCTCGCCAGCTGCACTCGACCACTTACCTCTCATTATGCCTCTCATTAATGCGTTTCCTAGTTTGGCTCTGTCGGCCCCCCGGAGTTGCCTTGCTCTCCCCTGTCTGCCCAGCGCCCAGCACGTGAAGCAAGGTTTACAGAAGACAGTGAATGCACGAAGGGGGCCTTGTTAACTGCAGCCTCCCAGTTCACTGCCCCTGTCCTCATGGATTTGACCTTCCCTTGGGGAGGAAGCACGTGTAAGAAGCATTCAGTAGGGGAAGACAGGCAACAACTATCAGTCCCTCCTGAATGTGGACAGCCATGTTCCAACAGCTGTGATGGGGGCCTGGCTGAATTCGGGAAGGAAGTGACAGTTGCTAAACCTTCCACCCACCCGGCCCTTGGCAGACTATTCACACTTGTTATCTCGTTGTATGTCTCTGAATGTTCACACAGTCCTGTGGGACTAAGTCTTGGTGTCACCACTTTGTAGATGAGGAAGCCGATCTAAGAGACCAATAACTCACCCAAGGACACAGGGCTGGGAGCGCCAAGCCATGACTGGCACCCAGAGCTTTCTGTTGCCGGGGCCCGGGCCCTTCCCATAAGTCTAACTAGGAAGGAGTGAGGTCAGGAGCAGGACTCCGAGCATGGATGCGAGGTGGTGTCGGGGCACAGAGGAAAATGATTTTATTGACTTATTTGTGATCTTTTAAGTTTTCATTCTGAAATAATTTCAGACTTGTGGAAACAGTACAAAGGATCCCCCCAAAGACCTCTCACCCAGCTCCCCTGAATGTTCCGTCTCCCATGACCACAGACAGCAAAACCAAGATGTTAACGTCCATATAAACTCTTTTTTTTTTCTAAAGATTTTATTTATTTATTTGATAGAGAGCATGAGAGGAGAGAGATCAGCGGGAGAAGCAGACTCCCTGCTGAGCAGTTAGCCCGATGTGGGACTCGATCCCAGGACTCCAGAATCATGACCTGAGCTGAAGGCAGTTGCCTAACCAACTGAGCCACCCAGGCGCCCATCCATATAAACTCTTAACTACTCTCCAGACCTTACTGACATTTTTCCAGTTGTCCCACTAACATTCCTCTTCTGGTCTAAAGTGCAGTCCAGAATATTTATGTTGTCCCAACCAGTCCCCTCCTGTTGGGCATGTCTGTCGTGCCGACTCTGCGATTACAACAGCACAGAACAGGGAGTCAGCAGCCCTTGCCAGCTGGCTCCCTTCCTCCCTGTGGGAACTTTTATACTTCCCGTCAGTCCAGTTCTTGGTAAGCCTTCCCCAGATTCTGGCCCCGAGTGCTCCCTTGCTTCTTGGAAATGTCACCTCCAGAGCAGCCTTCCTTGATGTCACCATTCTCTGTTCTGTTGCCCAGTTTGGTTTTGTCCTCTTGACTTGACAATGTATTTGTCATCCTGTCTGTCCCACTAGCATATAAGCTGCCAGAGGGCAGTGACTCTGCCTTACTCCACCCAAAGCAAAGCCAGGCCTCACTAAATACCGTTGAATGGGTGAAAGTGGGAAGATCTGGAACTGATTTGAAAATGAAACAGAGGGGCGCCTGGGTGGCTCCGTTTAAGTGTCTGCCTCTGGCTGAGATCATGATCCCAGCATCCTATGATCGAGACCCACATCAGGCTCCCTGCTCAGCGGGAAGCCTGCTTCCCCCTCTCCTGCTTCCCCAGCTTGTGTTCCTGAGAGTTTCACTGTCTCTCTCTCTGTCAAATAAATAAATAAAATCTTTAAAAAAAAAAAAAGAAAAGAAAAAGAAAATGAAACAGAAAGAGGGCTGGGCCACCTGGATAGCTCAGTTGGTTGGGCGTCTGCCTTCATCTGGGGTCATGATTCTAGGGTCCTGGGATTGAGCCCTGCATCAGGCTCCCTGCTCAGTGGGGAGCCTACTTCTCCCCTTCCCACTGTTGCTCCCCCTGGTTGTACTCTCTATCTCTTGTCAAATATATAAATAAAGTCTGAAGGGAGGGAGGGAGGGAGGGAGGAAGGTAAGAGGAAGGGAGGGTGCAGGCCTATGGAAACTGGACATAAAGACACAGGAAAGCATGGCAAAACCCTGCCACAGGGTATCCAAATTCCCCACACACACAGGTGCACAGGCACCCAGAGCAGGGACGGCAGTGATTAATCTCTAATGCAGTCATGGAAATCTGCTCATTTTTGACCAACTTATTTGTAGACAAATGAGCCAGCTCTTCCCAGAGGGGCCTCAAGAGCGGCTGTCTCTGCCCCCTCCGCCCCAAGACAGACACAGCAAATCTCCATCGACCTTTAGGGTCCACCATCTACCCCCAACCCTGCACCTCAACTCCTCTCAGCCTTTTTTTTTTTTTAAGATTTTATTTATTTGAGAGAAAGAGAGAGAGCTGGAAAGCAAGCAAGCAGGGAGGAGGGGCAGAGGGAGAAGAAGAAGCGGATTCCATGCTGAGCAAGGAGCCCGACATGGGGCTCCATCCCAGCATCCTGAGATCGTGACCTGAGGTGAAGGCAGACACTTAACCAATGGAGCCACCGAGATGCCCCTTCTTTGTCTCAGTCTTAATCAGCCAGATTTTTCTTTTCTGACTGACTTGCTGGATAACCTTAAACATCGACACAGGAGGCTTTTGTAAGCCCCCCGTCCCTGGCCCAGCACCCCACCGGTCTCATTTTTCCTTCTGAGAGGCCGAGGTGTGAGACAGCTTGAGGTGGCTGGTCCTGAGCTGGCTGGGCTGTGCACAGTATTTGCAGGGCCTAGTGGAAAATGGAATCCGGAGCCTCTTGCTCAAAGAGCAGGAAAAAGTTGCCATGAAACATTCTAAAATATAAGTTTTTCCTTTCTTCTACAATTTCTCTTGGGACTTGTCCTGATGTTTTTCATTTGCTACTTAACATCAGCCTAAGTAAAGAAAAATTAAAAATCTAAATTATCAGCATGAATTTTGCCTTTTGCTTTATTATTATATAATCCCCATTTTTTTTGTTTGTTTAAGAGGGAGAGGATCCCAAGCAGGCCTCACCCCCAGCGCAGGGCGCTATTCCCTGACGCTGAAGCCAGGACCTGGGCTGAAATGAGCAGGAGGCTCAACCAGCTGAGCCACCCAAGCACCCTTGTACAATCCGTTTCAAATGCAAATATAAGGACATATAAGTCACATATGAAATCACCGAAACTGTAATTCACACTTCCTAGCTTGTACGCAGATATGTATTTTGTTCTTACCCAAGCAGTGGAAATGCTGCGCAGAACGGAATTACCTGTTTCAATTTTCACTTTTGGTACGCCCACATTCTGCCAGCCCCGTCTGACTTTGGATTACTAATGAGCCAGGGTGGACGGAAGGGACAGAACAGACGGGCTACCCTCTTTCCTTTGCCTCCTGTAGCAATGTTTGCAGCCAAAACGGATCTTACAGGGAAGTAACACAAGTGAAAGGATGGGGCAGGATTTCTTGGTCATTTGTGTTTCTTAGAACACCTTCTTCATGCATTTGAAGCAAGTTCTGGTTTGGACCAAAGGCATGGCCTCTCGGGCCCTCACTCAGTCATAGGTGTATAGTCACCTTGGAACCCATTTGAGTCTTGAATTCCCACCATGGTGGGGCCACCAGAATCCTGTGATCGTTGGCACCGTGGATGGGGGTGGGGCATCAGGGACCGAGCATGCGCAAATTGTGTGGCCTCCGACTTCACTTTCTTCACTTCCGGGACACATAACCAAAGGCAAAATTATTAAGAATTTCAAGATGTGGCAGTGGAGCGTTGAGCCCACCGTGGGGCCCTGCGCGACTGCGCGTCTCACACATGCCCCTGAGGCTCGCCTTGCATGCTGCCGTCCTGTGTTTGGAGGACTCTGTTAGTCACAAGACCCCTCTTTGTGTCGGGTTTTTCCGCCTTTTCCATATGTAGCCTGGGACGGCCTGACATGGTGGCCAGAAGACGGAGAGCAGTCAGGCCATCCCGCTTCATTACTCCCTACTTCCTCCTCCAACCCGCCAGACTGCACTTTCTATAGTTTCCCCAAACACGGCCCTGCTGTCTGCTGCCTCTGGGCCTTGCCTGTTTGCTCCGCCCCAGAGGCTCTCAGAGTTTGGTCCCTGGACCCCAGCAACCAGCATCACCTGGAGCTTGCTAGAAATGCACATTCCCGGTCGGGCTGAGGAGCGCAGACGGGGCGATGGGGCAAAGAATCTGGCTCAGCAGCTCCCCGCGTGATGTGATGCTCCCCTGCTCTTTGGAACTACTTTTTTACACCTCATTTCAGCGGCCTAACTCCTACACCGTTTGTGGAATAAAGCCCTCACCCTCTGAGTCCCTTCCGTGAATCCCTCCGTTCACATCTCCGCGGATGGCCCTGCGGCTTTGGGTGTGTCTGTCCCATTCTCTATCTTGGCCTGACGACTAAGCGAGGCAAACCGTAGGCACACAGTTAATGAGCGGAGAGAAGCGCGGACTGCGGGTGTGGCCAAGGGTGTGGAGGTCGGGACCCCTGCGCCGTGGGCGGGGCCGAGCGTGCGGGGGCGGAGCTGAGCGCAGATTTCCCGCCCTGCAGGTACAGTCTGTACACCCGCACCTGGCTGGGGTACCTCTTCTATCGGCAGCAGCTGCGCAGGGCTCGGAATCGCTACCCTAAAGGCCACTCCAGAACCCAGCCCCGCCTCTTCAACGGTGAGCTCTGGCTGCCCCCGGCCAGCATGGCCCCAAGCTGTGCCCACCCACCCTTCCCGCCGATGCCGCATGGTATACCACCCACTCACCACTACCACCAACACCCCCCCACAACCCTCCCCCCCACCGCCAATCGCTGGGCTCCTTGGCCCGAACCCTGCCCACAGCCCATCTCTGTCCTCCAGGAGTGAAGGTGCTTCCCATCCCCGTCCTCTCAGACAACTACAGCTACCTCATCATCGACACCCAGGCCCGGCTGGCTGTGGCTGTGGACCCCTCAGACCCTCAGGCCGTACAGGTGAGGGGAGGATTGGGGGACGGGGTAATTTGGGTCACCTTGGGGACTGGCAGCGTTCCCTCACTGGAGAGGGGCTGTTCCCGATCCCTCTGCCAGTGGGATGTGCCCCCTCCTTGTGCCCTCACACACAGACCCCAACATGCAAGAACACACAGAGACCCCCAAAACCACAATATGGGGAGGGGCCAGAGTCCAGGGCATGGCCTGGGGAGGGGGGGACCTACAGCTTTGGGGGAACCGGAGCCAGAGGGAAGGGGATGCAGATTCAGGACCGTGGTCTGAGGTTTCTTGTGTCTCTCACTCTCTGTGGCACCTTTCTGACCCTCTAACTTCTCTCCTCATCTGTGTCTGTCGGTGTCTGGGTCTCTCCATCTTTCCTTCCCATTTCTTATTTCTCTGTGGATGTGTGTACCTGTGTGTTCCTCTGCCCCTCGAGCCTCGCTCCGCCCACCTCCCCATGATCTCCCCTGTGCTGTGGCTCAGCTTCAGCTGCCCCCCTACTCCCCAGCCCTCTCCTCCCTACCCTCTCATTCTCCCTGCGCTCCGCTCTCACCTGGCACCTGTGCCCCTGCCTCCACTACACACCACCCCTCCATCTCAGTGCCTCCTCTCTCCCCCAGGCTTCCATTGAAAAGGAGGGCGTTAATTTGGTTGCCATCCTCTGCACCCACAAGCACTGGTAAGGGGCTGGGGTGGGGGCCTGGGTCCAGAAGATCTTCCCTGGCCAACCCTTGCCCCTGTGGGCTTGGCAGGACTAGACCCAGGGAGGAGAGGCTGGGCTGGGGGGCAGGGAGTCGGGATGCGAGGAACCCACCTTCTTCATAAAGTCTCGGGGGGCACCAGCAGAAAAGGAGGGAAGGGGCAGGTCTCTCACCGTGGGGCTTATCAGGCTCCTGGAGCCCTAGAGGAGTGCAGGAGAGGCATTTATCTTTCATTCCTCGGGCACGTATTAGATATTCACTGTGCTTGGGACATGGGCAAACCCTGTGAGTTCTTTACTTGAGGAGTTTATAGTCCGGTAGGGGAGATAGCCCTGCGTGACCAGGAACAACGATGACAGACATTTAGGTGGTAGTTGGCACAAGGTACAGGAGGTGGGGGGCTCTTGGTGAAGTGTGACCAGATCCACTTGGAGGACTTAGAGGCTGACGACCCTGGAGCTGAGAGAGTCCAGAAAGATTGGTGGGCACTGGCTGGGCGATGGAGGGGAGGGGTGGCAGGTCGTGGAGATGACATTGGGAGCAGGGGAGCAGCTCGAACAAAGGCCTAGAGGTGTGAACAGCTTGGCTCAGTTCAGAAGCCCGGGGCTCAAGGCTTGAAGGCCTAGAGATCTGGAACAAGGAAGGCAAGGAGGCCTAGTACCGTTGCCCCTTAAAGTTCCTTCCTGTCTCTGCTGTCCTCCAGGGACCACAGTGGAGGGAACCGTGACCTCAGCCGGCGGCACCAGGACTGTCGGGTGTACGGGAGCCCTCAGGATGGCATCCCCTACCTCACCCAGTAAGTCCCTGTCCTGGGGTGGGTGGTCCTTCCATGCGCACCTTCCCACACCCCATCCTGTAGTCGAGTATTGTAGGAGTGCCAGCAGCTAGATCTTTGCTGAACCCCTTCCTGACCCTTAGAGGGCAGACCACAGCCCACCCCCCAACTCATCCAGCCATGGTCCCCGAGAGTGGGAGAGGCGAGAGTTTGGATCTGAAGCCCTGGGCACTGTCAGTGCCTTCCCTTTCTGGTGTGGAAGCCCTGTCTCCTTCAATTCACCAAGCTCCTTGGGCATTGCGTGGGGCAAGGCCCAGCACAGCCCAGGCTCTAGCACCTTCTCTCCCCTGTTGCCTTGCTTCTCAGCCCCCTGTGTCATCAAGATGTGGTTAGCGTGGGACGACTTCAGATCCGGGCTCTGGCTACCCCAGGCCACACGCAAGGCCATCTGGTCTACCTGCTGGATGGGGAGCCCTACAAGGGTCCCTCCTGTCTCTTCTCAGGGGACCTACTCTTCCTTTCTGGCTGTGGTGAGTTCCCCCTCACCAAAAGGGAAGCGGGAGCGGGGGTGGATAGAAAGGAGGGAGAGGTCAGGGCTAAAACCCAAAGACGGCACAGCCCCATGCAGTGCACGAAAACTTTGCTTTCAGTGCAGACACTGCCTTGCTGTTATTCCCGTCCGGGTGAGCCCGTGGTTTTTAATACCCTCGCAACTTCCCACAGAGGATGCACAGAACGAGATGATGCTTGTCACAGAGTACAGACCTGGCAGGACGTGGGTTTCCACTGGGTGGAGCCTAGTTCTCCCGTACCTGGAGAGACTAGGTTACAAAAAGTAGAGAAGCCCTGAATGCGAGGGTGACCCGTGGGTAGGGGAGGATCACAGTCCCAGGCTGTGTGGAGTCTCAGAGGGCAGCCGTGGAAAAGAGTCACCCCACACCAACTGTGCTTGGGGCCCTGGGCACTCAGCCTGACGCTTCCGTCCCCCTCTCCATCCACATGTCAGTATGTGCAATACAGGCCTTCCCACAGGCTTAGTTGGAGAGTGAGCATGTGGGCTCAGCAACCAGTGGGAAGGAGGGTGTAGATGCCTGGGGGTGGGGGTGGCAGGGGCCAGATTGAGAGCTGGTGGCCAGTACCAGCTGTGCACGCTGGTCCGCAGCCCGCTCCCTGTACCTTACACCAAGCTGTGTTCTTGTACCTTGTAACACACCCGCTGCCCCTCGCCAGGACGGACCTTTGAGGGCACCGCAGAGACCATGCTGAGCTCCCTGGACACGGTGCTGGGGCTAGGGGATGACACTCTGCTGTGGCCTGGTGAGGTCCCCCTCCTCCTCCTCCCACACTCCCTTACAGTCCCAGCCGCCCCTGCAACTGGCCCAGAGGGGATACCACTCCACCCCCGGTGGCTCCTGGGAGCCAGCTCAAGCTGTGAGGGCAGAGCCCCCTTCATTCTGGAATACTGGCTTGGAACGCGCCTCTACTTCTCATGCCAACTGCCCCTGACAGCCAGCCCTCGGCCTCCGGGGAGCCCTGTAGGCCCAGAGGCATCCCAGAGAGATGGCTGATATTTTACAGCCAGAGCCGAGAACAGAAAATCACCTTTGCTTATCAGAGAAGTCAGTAAACCCAACTCTGCGCGTGTCCACTGCAGGCACCCATACCTCACATTGCATGTGCATCTGTCCCCAGGCGTGTGTGTGGCATGTCCGTCCATCCGTCCGTGCAGACACTGCACGTCCCTACATATATCCACAAATGTCGGATAGCCATGGATTCTCAAGCACATCACTGAGCTGTCAGCTAATCCTCAGAATGTACATTTACCTGTCCATTCATTTGACAAATACTTGATGGAACGCCGAACGCGTGCCAGCCTCAATCCTAGGCACCGGGGACACATCTGTGTTCTAGTAGCATTATCTGCTCCACGTGCCCGATGACAAAACTGCGGCTCAGGTGCCATGACTCGGCTGAGGTTGCACAGCTGGGCAGGGGCAGCGTGAGGGCTAGGAGGCAGGGCTCCCCAGCAGCTGGGGCTCTCCCCCTGGCCATCAGGTGCCTGGGGGGAAGGAGGACTTTTTCTGACGGCACTGCTGCTCTCTCTTGGTCCCTCCCCTCCCCGCCCCTTGGGCCTCAGGTCATGAGTATGCAGAAGAGAACCTGGGCTTCGCAGGTGTGGTGGAGCCTGAGAACCTGGCCCGAGAGAGGAAGATGCAGTGGGTCCAGAGGCAGCGAATGGAGCGCAAGAGCACGGTGCGGGCGGGTGGGGGCTGGGGTCCAGGGGGTGGGGATGGGGGTGGGGGGGACCCCCCCAGGGCACGCCCCAGCAGGAACCCCTCCATGCTGAGCTGTGGCCTGCAGACCTGTCCCTAGAGGCCCGACATGTTTGGTGCACAGGCCTTCAAGGGAGGCCCCCTGAACCCTGAAACAGGGGACGTGGGGGGATGGCTTCCCTGACTGGGTCTGTTTCCCAGACTGTCTCCACCAAACCTGGTGCCTCTTGTCCCGCAGTGCCCATCCACGCTGGGAGAGGAGCGCTCCTACAATCCGTTCCTGAGGACCCACTGCCTGGTGCTGCAGGAGGCTCTGGGGCCAGGCCCGGGCCCCACCCGGGACGATGACTACTCCCGGGCCCAGCTCCTGGAGAAGCTCCGCCAGCTGAAGGACCTGCACAAGAGCAAGTGACAGCCCCCCGCCCACCCCAGCCCATCCCCCATGGAGGGGAGTCCACCCACCGCCCGCACCATGCCATCCCCCTCATTGCTGCCACCACCACCTCCATCGGCACCCACGGGGGGCCTCAGGGTCCAGCACTGTCACGGGAGGAGGGACAAGGGGACGAGGTCATGAGACCGAAAGGACAGAGGCTGGTTGAAGGCTTGGAGACCCCACAGGGGGAGGCGGAGTTATGCAGGGCAAGAGGAAAGGGGGAGCCTTGGGACCTCTCCAGACCCTGCTGGGAGGGGTCCTCCTCCCTGGCCCCACTCCTGCCCCTGTCAAGGACGTGGAGAGTGCTGGTCGCCCCTCCCTCAGTAGGGCCTCACTCTCACCAAGGGCAGCAGGAGCCAGGAGCAGGTTGAGTCCTCTTCCCCCTTCTCCCTTCCTGGCTTGGGAAAGACACTCAGGCCCCCAAAGTAGCCAGAGGTGTGGTGCCTTGGAAAAGCGGTCACTCGGAGGGGCAGCTGGGCTCCTGTGCCCTGAGACACTGGCCCTCCTCCCCAAGCCTCCCCCCTGCCCGCCCCCTTGTCCCCCACCCATGAAGGCATTTTTCAAACAGAGCCATTTCTGGGAAAGTTGAAAGGGCTGGACGTCTGCATGTCTGGACAATCTCAGCCTCAGTGACCCCCCTGCAGCCTGGAAGGGGGAGGGTCCTGGTTGCCCCTGACACCGCGCCTTCAGGCTGAGGAGACAGGGAATGCTGGACCGCAGCCTCGCAGGCTCCCTGTGCAGCTGGCCTCTGCCCTTGCCTGGGGCCCAAAGGACTCTGCTTCCCAGGGGCAAGAGCCATCATGTACCCCGCCGCGTCAGTTTTCTCCTCATGGCCCTTGTTCTTAGGAACTTCTGCCTTGTTCTCACTCCTGCTTTACCCTCCTCAGTCCCTCTCCTCTTTTAGTTATAAAGCCCTTCCTCTGGCCCTCTAAAGTTTGCCAAGAACCTCCTCACGTCATTTTTCATTTGATCCTTGATCCCATCCTGGCCGGGGAAGGGGGTCCACTTCAGGGGTTCCACAGAGTGCAGAAATCAAGCCTGGGAGCAGAGAGCCATCCGCTCTCCACCGAGTGTCAGCCTCCAGGACCCCAGGATTTCTGAGGTCCTCGAGGAAGCGCACCTCGGGAGCCTTTGCTTCCTGTGTTCAAGCTTTCCCTCAGGCTATGCTCGCCTCTAGTGAGCTTCTGAGATGTCCCCTGCCCTCGATTTCCCCTCATCATCCCGCCTCTGCCTCTCTCTCCAGCCATAGTGTCTGGTACCAACTCTAGCAATACCACCAGAATACAGTCCCCACCCCCCCAACAGACACGCAGTTTCATGCCGCTGTGCCTTTGCTCATGCTGTTCCTTCAGAATGGAATGCCTTTCCCCTGCTCCTCCAGCCTTATCTGCCTGGCAAACACCCATTCATCTCTCACAATGCCCCTCAAAGGCCCCCTCCTCCAGGAAAACAACCCCCATGCTCCTCACCCTCAAGGCTACCTCTGCTCTTTGTAAATGCTTCTCTCGTGGCACTTCTCACATTGTATTTTACTTGTTTACATGTTTGTCTCCCCTTCTAGACTGTGAACCCTTCAGGGCATGGACTGTATCTTATGCATCTCTGTAATTCTGCGCCTAGCACGGTGCCTGGCACACAGGAGGCGCTCAATAAATCTTGAATGAATGAATAATTTAACTGGGGCTTGATCACTCCATGAGACCATCTTTATTGCTGGTTCCAGGCTGCTACCTGGGAGTTACTGAGCTCCAAGAGCCTTGGCCGGAAACAGTGCTGTAAATAATGTCCTTGCATGCCTGTGTGGGCTTGGTCGGAGTTACGACATGCTTGCCTCAGTGTCCCCCAAAGCGTGGGAGGCACAGGTGCACCTCCAGCCACAGGGGAGAGGACTAGCACTGAGGGGAGAAGGTCTTGGTCCTGGCCTCTCTTCAACACGTCTCTAACAGAGCCAGACTCCAGGTGGCACCTTAGTTGGTCAACTATCTTGAGTTAAACTTTAACACCCTGGTTTTGTTTTCATTGTATTTACCTTTGAGGTCAGTATCTTTTTCATAATTTATTATTTATTTTTGAGGGAGCACACAGGTGCATGCAGAGGGACAGGCAGACTCCCCGCTGAGCATGGAGCCCAATGTGGGGCTCAGTACCCCCACCCTGCGATCATGACCTGCTCTGGAATCCCAACAGTCAGAGACCCAACTGACTGAGTCATCCGGGCACCCCTGGGTTAATATTTTTGACACATGATAGCAGTGTTCTTTTTTCTTTTGTTTCCACAAAGTGATCGCAGTTTTCAATACATGAAAGTAATTAAGGATATTTATTGAAATAGGAATGAAGTAAAGGAGACCCTGGGCCCTGGCAGAACCCCCTTTTTTATTTGAGAGAAAGTATGAGCGGTTGGGGGTTGTGCAGAGGGAAAGGGAGAGAGAATTGCAAGCAGACTCCCCACTGAGTGCAGAGTCCAACCCTGGGCTCGATCCCACAACCCTGAGATCACAACCTTTGCCAAACTCGAGAACCAGCCTCTCATCTGACTGAGCCACTCAAGCTCCCCCATAGCAGAACTCTTTTTTTTTTTTTAAAGATTTTATTTATTTATTTGACAGATCACAAGTAGGCAGAGAGAGAGAGGAGACAGCAGGCTCCCCGCTGAGCAGAGAGCCCAATGTGGGGCTCGATCCCAGGACCCCGGGATCATGACCTGAGCTGAAGGCAGAGGCTCTAACCCACTGAGCCACCCAGGTGCCCCCATAGCAGAACTCTTAAAGGTCGCTTTGATATGACTGAAGACTGGGCAACACTGGCCTAATTCCACATTTCCTTGGGGCCAGACCAAGGCATAGTTTTCCCACCCCTAAGCACAATTCAGCCTACTCCTCACCCTAAGCAACGGACCTTGCCATGGGCCCCCAGATTAGGGCTGCACTTAGGGTGAGCATGGAGTAAGGAGCCATGGTCCTCACCTTCCAGAAGAAGGGCAGCTCTCCTTGCTCTCTTGCTCCAGGGTACTCCTATCTTGAATGGGCAAGTCCCAGGGCTAGGTCTCTTTGGGGATGCCCAGCTACAAGGGTCATTTGGCGATAGTTCTCTAGGGCTGGTGAAGCATTTTCCTAGAGCCTTAGGTGATCTGCCCACTGGGACATCGCCGTGAATGATGGCCCAGGCCTTCCGTGCTGCTGGCACTGACCAGCAACAACCAGGCCACCTGCCCTTTGCTTATAAGCCAGCAGGTGTCACTGGCCCTAGAGACTTGGGTTCCATTCCCAGCTCTTTCATGCAACATCCAAGTGACCTTGGGCAAATTTCACTTCTCTGACCAACATGTTCCTTCACCTTCCACGGAGATGACACCCTTGAATGTGTCAGGACATTTTCAGGTGCCAGTGACATACTCAACACTAAGGAGCTTAAACCAAGAGGAAAACTTACCAGCCGGTGAAATAAAGAAGTGGGAAATTATGTCCTGGTGAGTGCAGGCATTGCTGGATCCACGGATTCCAAGGGCAGTCTTATCATTGAGCTCAGCTTTCTTTTGCAGTGGTATCATTGTTCGTCAGGTGTTGCCCCTGCAGTGGAAAAGACCAAGTCTGCAAGTTCCAGGCTTACAGGATACTAGTTGGTTCATCGAGTCAAGCCGAACTTCCCCTCGTCCCAGGGGTTGAGTTTCATTGGTTCAGCTTGGGTCATGTGCCCAATCCTGAGCCAATCAGGAATTAGGGAATGGGCCCCTCTCACTGGCCAGGTTAGGTCACATGACCACACTTGGCAGGGCAGTGTCAGACCCAGCTGGAAGGTGCGCTGGGAGTGTAGAAAATGTCACCCAGAGTAGAGGGGGTCTGATACCAGAAGTGATGTAAGGTAACAAAATCATTGACAGTCACCAACAATTCCACTTATTAGAAGCTATTAGGAGAGTCCGATGAGCAAGGGCACATGAAGTCATTTTGGAAAATGCTACATCAGATTCCTAGGGCTATAATACATTATATAGAAGAAATGGAGGTAGATAGGTGGCCCCAAAGGTATTTGAATAATACCTCGTTTAAAAAATAACCAGCAAGCAGTTCATTTTTTCCTGAATCGCAGGCTGGCTGTCTCTAGGGTCAGGAAAGGAGAAGGGGAGGGAACACTAAGCAGGCAGCCATCAGCGCTCTGGGGAGGAACAGAGACCCAGGAAGTCACCATGTGATAGGGAGTAGCCCTCTGCCTACCTGTGCGTGCTGTGGGCGGTCTTAGTCCTCCAAGGCCCTGGCCACACAAGGAGACTTTGAAAGTGGGTAGGAACCTAACCCAGGTGGTCAGTAAACCCTAGGCAATGACACTTACTGAGTTCCTAACCAGAGGCAAAGCCCCACAAAGATGCAGAGAAAAACACCTGTCTTAGGGTTCTTCAGAGGAACAGAACCAACAGAAAGTGAGATGATAGATGATAGATAGGTAGGTAGACAGATAATAAGTGGGACAGGGTGGCAGGGAGAGGACTCGGAGAGGGACGGGTCTGGATAGGAACATAGGTTCTACCTCTGGTTGACCTTTGGTGATGCCAGACAGGCATCTCATGTCACCGAGCCTCGTTCTGGAACAACTGGGAGAACTAAGTGAGATGCGCAGTGCTGTTCAGTGAAGAACACCTCCCCCGCCCCACACTGTTACTAATAAACATAGGGCCAGTCCCTCAAGGACTATAGGACAAACTGAACACATGGATTCTGGAGAAAGCCCATCTGGGCTGGGGTCCATACTTCCTTTTTTTTTTTTTTTTAAAGATTTTATTTATTTATTAAAGAGAGAGCACGAGCCGCGGGGAGCAGCAAAAGGAGAGAGAGAAGCAGACTCCCCACTAAGCAGGGAGCCAGACCCAGCGGCTCCATCCCAGGACCACAGGATCATGACCTGAGCCAAAGGCAGACACTTAACCAACTGTGCCACCCAGGTGCCCCCACACTTTCCATTTATTAACTGGGTGAACTTGGGCAAGTTACTTAACCTTTCTGTGCCTCCGTCTCTCCTGCATCCACTGAGGGTGTGGCCAGCACTGCCTCGGAAGCTGATTGTGAGGACCTAGTGAGTTGATACCTGCAGAGCTGGGCACAGAGTGAGCCCCTCTTCACGTTAGTGGCTGTGGTTCCTTAGATGCTGATCCCCGTGACTCAGAGGATACAGGCTGTCCCTGTCATAGATTCAGAGAGGCCAACCTGCCCAAGACTGCCGCACAACTAGTAGGTCAACCTGCTACAGAGCGTCCCTCCACTGGGGAACCTCCACTAGGAGGCGCTAAGCGGGGGGGGGGGGGGGGGGGGGGGGGGGGGGGGGGGGGGGGGGGGAATGGTAGCAAGGGTCTGTGGCAGATCTCTTCCAGACGTTTAAAAATCGGCCGAACAAACTGAATGTTGATCCTTCTGTGAACCACATTGTCACATTTCTTTCTCTGCTAGCAGGAAACGGCCAGCACAAATGGGAAGAAATGGCCGGGGCGGGGGGATGAGAAAGTTGTGGACAGACTGGTGGGAACTCTGTGCAGCTCCAGGGGCCTGACCAAGGAGAGGGGAGGGGGGAGGAGGGAAACTCTAACCGGTAAAGGGCTTGGGGAACAAATCTGCCTTCAGGTCAGGAAGGGGGGTGCACAGTAGGGAGAGAACTACATGGGCACCCCTTCAAGAGCATCTAGACCATAACTGGCTTCTTTTTTTCCAACTTTGTCCTAATAAGCAAAAATATTTTTTCCAACTTTATGTCATTTACATATGAAAGCAACAGGGTTTGCTTTTGTAGATCTTATTTAAATCTCCTTTTATTAACAACCTTATTGATCTATCATGGACGTAACACCAAATTCATCCTTTTAAAGTGTACAATTCAGTGATTTTTAGTATATGCACTGTTTTGTGATCATCACAATCTAATTTAAATTTTTTTAAGATTTATTTATTGATTTGAGAGAGAGAGCACGCATGTGGGGGTGGGGAAGGAGGGGCAGAGGAGGAGAGAGAGAGAAACCCAAGCAGACTCTGTGCTGATCCAGGAGCCCCACATGGGGCTTTATCCCATGATCCTGAGAGCATGACCTGAGCCAAGAGTCAGTTGCTTAATCTACTGCGCCACCCAGGGGCCTCATAATCTAACTTTAGAACATTTTCATTTATCCCCAAAAGAACGACAGTGCCCCTTGGATGTCACTCCCTGCCTCTGCGGACCCACACCAGACAGCAACTGATGAGCTTTCTGTCCCCACAGGTTTATACAAATCACAAACATGGCATCAGACAATACGTGGTCTTTCGTGACCAGCTCCTCTCGCTCAGGCTGTTCTCAAGGTTCGTGTTCCAACACCTCTGCATACTTTACTCTTCTTATGGTTGAATAATATTGCATTGTGTGTATATACACCATATTTTGTTTATCCGTTAGTCAGTTGACAGGTGGGTTCTTTCCACTTTTTGGCTGTCATGAATAATGGTGCTATGAACATCTGTGTACGGGTTTTTGTGCCAACAGATGTTTTCAGCTCTCTTGGGTATAGACCTAGGAGTGGAATTGCTGAGTCATATAGTAACTCCACATTCAACTTTTTGAGGAACTAACAGTAGTAAAGTCGTTGTGAGTTTTCTTAATGCGGCTGACAGTTGCTTATGTGCAGAGAAAGGCTTCTTCAGAATGCACTGTGGCTTTTAAAAATTAACACTCAAAATAAAATTTAAAAAACAATTAAAATTAGGGGCACCTGCCTGGCTCAGTCGGCTAGGGCATGAGACCCTTGATCTTGAGGTCATGAGTTCAAGTCCCACATTGTGGGTAGAGCTTACAAAAAAAAAAAAAAAAAAAGAACCTAGTAAAAAACAAAATTTAAAAAACTAATACTCAGTTTCTTAAATTGCAAATTTTAAAACATAAGCATTTTAAAACTTTTAAGTTCAACTTATCAGTCCTATTTTCATCATAAATCCAGTAAATGTTAATAATAACTTTTAAGGGGACTTTGATTAATAATTGGTCCTCTTGGGGCGCCTGGGTGACTCAGTGGGTTAAAGCCTCTGCCTTCAGCTCAGGTCATGATCCCAGAGTCCTGGGCATCGGGCTCTCTGCTCAGCAGGGAGCCTGCTTCCTCCTCTCTCTCTGCCTGCCTCTCTGCCTACTTGTGATCTCTGTCAAATAAATAAATAAAATCTTTAAAAAAAATTGGTCCTCTTTTCAAAATTGCAGCTGCTCTCAGCAGTTTATGTTATATTTATTCATCCCAGATATTCTACTTCCTTTTTAAAGGGAACTGATTATTATATGTCAATTATATCTCATAAAGCTGGAAAAAATAAAGTAAAAAAAAAAGAATCCAGTTATCTTAAAAAAAGAGAAACCAGCCTCCCAAGTACTTTATTTGTAATCTAATAAAAATAAACATATAAATATAGTAAATTTGGGGGCACCTGGGTGGCTCAGTTCAGTGTCCAACTCTTGATATCAGCTCAGGTCTCAATCTTAGGGTCATGAGTTTGGGCCCCGCGTTGGACTCCATGTTGGGTGTGGAGCCTACTTATAAATACATACATATGGAACCCCCTGGGCGCCTGTGAGGTTAATGATGATAATAATAATAATAAATACATACATACAGCAAATTTAAGGTTTTTCATTTTATTTTATTTTTAAAATTTTAATGTTTTTAAAAAATGTTTTGGTTCTATTTACAATTCCAGTAAGAATTTTTTTCATTTTACTATTTTTTTATTAATTTCTTGTCAGCATAACAGAATTCATTGTTTATGCACCACACCCAGTGCTCCAAGCCATATGTGCCCTCCATAATACCCACCACCTGGATCCCCCAACCTCCCACCCCCTGCCCCTTCAAAACCCTCAGGTTGTTTTTCAGAGTCCATAGTCTCTCATGGTTCATCTCCCCATCCAATTTCCCTCAACTCCCTTCTGCTCTCCATCTCCCTATGTCCTCCATGTTATTTGTTATGCTCCACAAATAAGTGAAACCATATGATAATTGACTCTCTCTGCTTGACTTATTTCACTCAGCATAATCTCTTCCAGTCCCGTCCATATTGATACAAAAGTTGGGTATTCATCCTTTCTGAAGGAGGCATAGTACTCCATAGTGTATATGGACCACATTCGTCCATTGAAGGGCATCTTGGTTCTTTCCACATTGATGCTATGCCATTATAGCATCAATGGCGACTGTGGCCATTGCTGCTATAAACATTGGGGTACAGATGGCCCTTCTTTTCACTACATCTGTATCTTTGGGGTAAATACCCAGTAGTGCAATTGCAGGGTCATAGGGAAGCTCTATTTTTAATTTCTTAAGGAATCCCCACACTGTTCTCCAAAGTGGCTGCACCAACTTGCATTCCCATCCAGTAAGAATTTAACTTCAGAGTTCAGTCTAAATCAATTATTCAGCTGCCCAATGTATGTATGTATGTATGTATGTATGTATTTTTTTAAGAGTATTTATTTATTTATTTGACAGACAGAGATCACAAGTAGGCAGAGAGGCTGGCAGGGAGAGAGGAGGAAGCAGGCTCCCCACCAAGCAGAGAGCCTGATGCATGACCCGATCCCAGAACCCTGGGATCATGACCTGAGCTGAAGGCAGAGGCTTAACCCACTGAGCCACCCAGGTGCCCCCAATTTATTTATTTTTTAAAGTTTTTTTGTTTTTTTAAGTACTCTCTATACTCAATGTGAGGCTCGAACCCACAACCACCAAGCTCAAGAGTCCCACTCTCTATGACTGACCCAGCCAGGTGCCATTCAACTGCCTGATGTAAATTAGAATCTCAAGACTTGTCTTTTTTAATTTTTTTAAAGATTTTTTTATTTATTCATATGAAAGAGAGAGTGTGTGCAAGAGTATGAGCAAAGGGGGAGGGACAGAGAGAGAAGGAGAAGCAGGCTCCCCGCTGAGCAGGGAGCCCCATGTGGGGCTCGATCCTGGGACCCTAAGGTCATGACCTGAGCTGAAGTCAAACACTTAACTGACTGAGCCACCCACGTGCCCTCAAGACTTATCTTTTAAGCATCCTTCTATGCCAAATTATTTTAAAGGACTTGAAATACCAAGTAGGCACAATATGACACGGACAAAAATTAACATTGTTAGTTCAATTGTCTCAAGCAATTCTACACATAATTCTTTCTTTTTAGTCTATTTTTTTTATTTTTTTATAAGTACATAATGTATTATTAGCTCCAGGAATACAGGTCTGTGAATCGCCAGGTTTATACACTTCACAGCATTCACCATAGCACATACCCTCCCCATGTCCATAACCCCACCACCCTCTCCCTACCCACCTCCCCCCGACCCCCTTAGTTTGTTTTGTGACATTAAGAGTCTCTTATGGTTTGTCTCCCTCCTGATCCCATCTTGTTTCATTTATTCTTTTTTTTTTTAAGATTTTATTTATTTGACAGAGAGAGAGAGAGATCACAAGTAGGCAGAGAGGCAGGCAGAGAGAGAGAGAGGGAAGCAGGCTCCCTGCTGAGCAGAGAGCCTGATGTGGGGCTCGATCCCAGGACCCTGAGATCATGACCCGAGCCGAAGGCAGAGGCTTTAACCCACTGAGTCACCCAGGCGCCCCTTGTTTCATTTATTCTTTTCCTATACCCCAAACCCCCCACATTGCATCTCCACTTCCTCATATCAGGGAGATCATATGATAGTTGTCTTTCTCCGATTGACTTATTTCGCTCAGCATAATACCCTCTAGTTACATCCACATCATCGCAAATGGCAAGATTTCATTTCTTTTGATGGCTGCATAGTATTCCATTGTATATATATACCACATCTTCTTTATCCATTCATCTGTTGATGGACATCTAGGTTCTTTCCATAGTTTGGCTATTGTGGACTTTGCTGCTATAAACATTTGGGTGCATGTGTCCCTTTGGATCACTACGTTTTTATCTTTAGGGTAAGTACCCAGTAGTGCAATTGCTGGGTCATAAGGTAGCTCTATTTTCAGCTTTTTGAGGAACCTCCATGCTGTTTTCCAGAGTGGTTGCACTGGCTTGCATTCCCACCAACAGTGTAGGAGGGTTCCCCTTTCTCCGCATCCTCACCAGCATCTGTCGTTTCCTGACTTGTTAATTTTAGCCATTCTGACTGGTGTGAGGTGATATCTCATTGTGGTTTTGATTTGTATTTCCCTGATGCTGAGTGATGTGGAGCACTTTTTCATGTGTCTGTTGGCCATCTGGATGTCTTCTTTGCAGAAATGTCTGTTCATGTCCTCTGCCCGTTTCCTGATTGGATTATTTGTTCTTTGGGTGTTGAGTTTGCTAAGCTCTTTATAGATTTTGGATACTAGCCCTTTATCTGATATGTCGTTTGCAAATATCTTCTCCCATTCTGTCAGTTGTCTTTTGGTTTTGTTAACTGTTTCCTTTGCTTACACATAATTCTAAATCTTCCCGAAGTTGGTAATTACCTATTGAGAAGACATTGGAAGATTACCTTCCTGAGGACTATGGTGGGGGTCGGGGGTGGGTGGGCAACTCCTTTGGTGATGGAGGTTTTGGAGAAGATTTGTGTGTGTGATTCTTTCAGGCTGAGCCCCTTTTTGTAGCCACTATGATGCAGACTCAGACACTTACAAGGTGGGGACCAGATCGGCCACAACCTGGGGTCTGAGTCCTATCATAACTCAGTTTTCGTCTTTGTCACCAATCACTACCCGTTCTGTAGCACTTGTTTGGATTCAACCTATTGTCTATTTGCTGCTTCATTTTTCTTCGAATTCTCTCTAGGAGCCAGACTGGCTTGAGTCATGGCTCTGCCAATTACAGTTGCCCCTTGAACAACATGGCGGCTGGGCCCACCAACACTGCCCCTCCCTTTCGGACACGGTTGAAAATCTGGGCATGGGGCACCTGGCTGGTTCAGTGGGAGGAGCATGTGACTTGATCTCGGGGTCATGAGTTAGAGGCCCACATTGGGTGTAGATATTACTTAAATAAATAAACAAATTTAAAAAAAACCCTGAAATTTGTGTCTTAAAAAAAAAGGAAAAACTTTTTAAAAAAGAAAGAAAAGCTAAATATAACTTTGACTCTCTCCAAACTTAACTACTAATAGTCTACTATTGACCCAAAGTCTTACAGATAACATAAAATGTTGATTGACACATTTTGTACATTCTGTTATTATATATGGTGTTCTTCCAATAAAGTAAGTGAGAGAAAATGTTATTAAGAAGTCACAAGGAAAAGGGCTGCCTGGGTGGTTCAGTCGATTAAGCATCCACACTCTTGATTTCAGCTCAGGTCATGATCTCAGGGTGGTGGGATAGAGCTCTGTGTCTGCTTGAGATTCTCTCTCTCCCCCTCTCCTCCTGCCACTACCCCCCATCTAAATAAATAAAATCCTTAAGAAGAAGAAGGAAAAAGAAAACATTAGGAAGAGAAAACATATTTACATTACTGTACCATATTTACTGAAAAACATCCACATATGAGTGGACCCAGGCAGCTCAAACCCGTGCCGCCCAAGGATCAACTCTATCAGCCCTGTGACCTTGGGAAGACATTTAACCTCTCAGTGCCTCAGGTTTCTCAGCCATGAAGTGCAGGGGAAAAAAGGAACTGCTCAGAGGGTTGGTCTGAATATCGAATGAGATCACCTGTGTCCAACTCTCCAGAACAGCGCCAGGTCTCTGGTGAGCATAGCTTAAGGGTTTGCTGTGACTGTCGTTGTTGTCACCATCATTCTCACAGAGGGCACTATCCACGGGCATCTAAGTGGGGTCTACGTGTGTGAGGTCATGTCTGACTCAAGGTCACAGCTTCCAAGGTCATTTTTTTAAGTTTACTGTTATTATTATTTTTTAGTAATCTTTACACCCAACTTGGGGATTGAACTCGTGATCCCGAGATCAAGAGTCACATGCTCCTCCAACTGAGCCAGTCAGGCACTCCCTAAGGTGATTCTAATGACCCATGTCATCCCTCTGCCATGTCAAATGTTCCCTCTATAGGGCAATGCTTCAGGCATGGCCTGAGTTCCAAAGCCCACGGTTCCTACCATTGTGTCCAGGTCTGGGTGTTTTGTGAGATGTGTTGATGGCCCTTTAAGAGGCGGTAGCTGGCTTCCGGTTGCCATGGAGACAGCTGGACGCAGCCTGGGTAGCAGAAGGCAGCATGTCCTCTAAACTTCAATCCACAGGTGGGAAGAGGGCTGTTGGCACTGGAAATTGAACAGGCATCTTCTCCTCTTCTCCCCCACCATCCTCCTTGAGGTGGCCTTGGGGATTCTGCTTTGGGGACTCCTATCCCACCCCTGTCCCTCTCCCCAAGATTGCCATCTCAGCCTCTCCTCCCTCCCTAATCCCCAAAGCCAAGGACCACCAGCCCTCAGCTGAAGAGAGTCTGCCAGCCCCAAAGGCCAATGCTGAAGCCATCCACTTCCTCAGCACCCTCGGTGAGCCTGGACAGTGGGGGCAGTGGGGGCACAGATGTGGAGAGGAAGGAAGAGACAAGGCCCAGACCTGGCAATGTCTCTCTCAGCCTTGATTCCCCTGGGACTCAGAAAGGGTTCAAGGGTTATTGATTTTTTTTTTTTTTTTAAACACAGAAAGGTTTTTTTGTTTTGTTTTGATTTTTTGTGTGTGTGTTTTTTAAGATTTTTTTTATTTATTAGAGAGAGAGAGAGCATGAGCAGTGGGGAGAGGGAGAAGCAGGCTCCGCACTGAGCAGGGAGCCTGACATAGGCTCCATCCCAGGACCCTGGGATCATGACCTGAGCTGAAGGCAGATGCTTAACTGACTGAGCCACCCAGGTGCCCCAATAATTGTTTGTAAAGATTTATTTATTTGGGGCACCTGGGTGGTTCAGTCGTTAAACCTCTGACTCTTGCTTTCAGCTCAGGTTATGATCTCAGAGTCCTGAGCCCCATGTCAGGCTCCCTGCTCAGCCAGGGAGTCTGCTTGAGATTCTCTCTCTCCCTCTCCCTCTGCCCCTCCCCACCCAGCTCCTGGGCTCAGGCTTTCTCCCTCTCTCTCTCTAGAATAATAAATAAATAAATCTTAAAAAATAAATAAATAAAATAGAAGATTTATTTATTTATTTATTTGAGAGAGAACACAGAAGGAGAGGGAAAAGCAGACTCCCCGCTGAGCAGAGAGCCCGACATGGGGCTCCATCCCAGGATCCTGAGATCATGACCTGAGCCAAAGGCAGAGGCTTAACCCACTGAGCCACCAGGTGCCCCTATTTGTTGATAAATGTCAAGAGAAGACCCCAAGGACATGGGGACTCGGGGTGGTGGTGGGGTCTTCACCTGCTGTCTGTTGTACAGGCTAACGGAGGGAAGGCAGGAGCTGCCTGGGACCCAGGAGATGAGGAAGGGGTGGGTGGAGACGGTGGGGCCCTGCGGGTGGGGGGGTTCTGAGAGTTGAGACCCAGGAGCTGGGGCTTTATCTGTGCCCATGGGAACCTCCCCACCCCCAGAGCAGGAGGAGCTGCAGATGCTGCTGTTCTCTGAGACTCTGGCCATGGTCTCGGACACGGGGGAGCCTCAGGGAGAGCTGACCATTGAGGTGCAGAGACGGCAAAACAAAGACGAATTTGGTGTGATGTCACACTGCCTCTTCGTGCACGCCTTTAGCCATGGCTTCATGGACAAGATGCTCTGCGGAAACTCCCTCCTGGGTAGACTTGTTGCTGCCTGAGGCTTCACCTCCGTCCTTCCTCCCTCCCTCCCCCCTCCACCCCCATTCCTAGGACCTTCACTCAGAACCCACCCTGGACTTCACCTTGAGACCAGAAGGCAGCTAAGAGGGTGTGCAGGAGGTGGGGGTGACAGGGATGTTAATCATAGCTGCAGACTTACGACAAGAGCACCTCTTAGTTTCCCTGCAGTCACAGTCCCCCTGCGTCCTCCAGCCTGGGCCCCCACCCTCCCGCCCTACGGTCTCCCAGCCTGTCGCCTGTGATGAGGTCGTAGTGACGCAGCCTTCCTCTCCTGCCCCAGGCTACCTCTCATGGAAACTGCATGTCATGGAGCAACATAGTCAAGAGTTCATCAAGGTACCTCCTGGAGCCCCAAGCCTAGAGCCCAAACCAGGGAGAAAGAATGGAGACCCGGGGAGGGAGGGAGGGAGGGAGAGAAGAATGAGGGGACACAGCGGGATGTCACCCCCAGCTCTCTCCAAGTTACCCTGTAATCCTCATCACACTTGGAAACCAATCCATCTGGGGCAACAGGTTGCGTCTCACGACCTTCTAATACACGAACCCTGGGTCCAGTCCACCCAGGGGCTCCCCAGGCTGAGAGCCCAGTAGCTCCGTGAGGACCATTTGGGCCAGCCTTTCCCAGAGCCTGGCCTTTTCCAAGGGCCCGTCACCCCCTCACCTCCAAATTCTCCTGCTCTGTGCCTCCCACACCCAGCTGCAACCACTTCATTAACTTCTGGAACAGGACCAGTTTTACACGCTGGAAAGCGCTCGTGCCTAAGAACTTTCCCACAGAAACTATACCCCACTTTTAAAATCCATGTTCTGAAGGGCATTTGCTTTTTAACTTTCTATTACACCATCATATGCCTTCTGGTCTTGAACTTCGCTACAAAGCGAAGATTTTCTACCCAAATTTCCCTCAGTTTTCTCATTTCTAAAGGAGAACGGGGCAAGGCGACCTGTGGGGGTGCTGTTCATGTTCAATCGGGACCCAGGCCAGCTCCTGCTTCTCCCCTCCCTGCTCTGGCCCTTAGTTTCGCGTCCTCCCCATGGAGAGGAAGATGACTTTGGTGAAGCAGGATGACCAGCTGACCATGACCAGAAGTGTCAAGGAGGGGGAGGTAAGGCGAGAGACAGGTAAGGGCCGTTCCCCACATCCTCTTCGAAGCCAAGAGCAGGGGCCAGATTGTGTTAGGACGGGAGCCGGGCATGGAGACTCGGCAAGGACCCTATATGAGCCCAATACCTGGCTTTCCCGTCCTCCCCACCCCTTCCCAGATGGAAGTCCCTGACCCAGACTTTTCCTGAACAGGAAGTCAAGACCGAAGTGACTTTTATCCCAGGGAGCTCAACCACGGGCTTCATCTCTGAGGCTGCCAACCTGGTGTTGCTGAGGGTGATGGCCTGGCGGCAGACGGTGCCCAGCAACGCCCGTTTCCTGGCCTTGGACACGGAGGGCGAACTCTGCTACTCCACTTACGTGAGGGGTCTCCCTGGGTGGGGGACTTGGCCTTGGCAAAAGCCAGGAGGGGCACGGAGGTCGCCGAAGCAGGGGAAAAGACAGCTTCAGGGGAGGAAGAGCGGGTGGGCTGGGGCCCTGCCGGTGGGACTTCCAAGGGCAGGAGAAAGCAAGTCTTCACGTGTTCAAAGATCACGTGGGGGCAGGTGGCATGAAAAAGAGGAACCAAATCGGGGAGCAGTTGAGAAGCAATGCTTCTTGCCCAGAAGTCAGTCCAGGAAAAATAAACATAGCGGAGGGCTGCTTTTAAAAGACGTATTTTTTTAACATCAGGAAATGCACCATTTCCAACTGCATTTTTATTATGTCTCAGACCTGAAGGGTTCCTTTTTTTTTTTTTTTTTCTTTTTCTTTTCTTGTGGCTAAAACTTCATGATCGACATACCTAGGACTTTCTGCCACGTGCGATTTTAAAGCTATGCTGCTAAGCACACATTTTGGGGGCTGATTTGACCAACTTTGTAAATGACATTCCAGTCTTTTCTATCACAAACATGACAAACGGCAGTGTATTTGATACAAACAGGCCCATGTCACTTCCCCCACCTTCTCTGAAACACAGGTCCTGCATTAGCTCCTTTCCGCCCGTGTCCACAGCTGCTCCCGGCATTTTAAATTGTAACGACAACAGGGCGGCCTGCAGCAGGGGCCACAGATCTCAATCTAGCCCCCTCCTCAGAGCATCATGGACCCCTCCCTCAAAGAGCCTCCCCACGCTCCCTGACCCCACCTCCTCAGGCTCACACCTGTTGGATGATCTCATCCCGTAACTGAATCTGCCAACCAGGAGAACTTGGTCATCAAGATGATGAGGGGAGCGTAGGGCGAGTGCAGCATGGAACTGGCCTTCTACAAGGGGACCCCCACTTAACTTGGGGGTGCGATTCAAATCCTGTGGTGGCTGAGGGCCTGGACAGCCAAGGGTTGTTTGTCACTGATAAACAAGGAACGAAGCAGCAAGATGGAGAAGAGGGCCAGGGTGAGATTTGGGGGAGATGCTGGTGGGCATCCACCTCACCTCCCTCCCTCTTACCTTGGCTGCTGCCAGCAAGACCTGGGCTTCCAGAAGATCCAGGTGGACCGCCAGCAGGTAGAGGTGTTCATCGTGGAGCAGACCGTCCACTCAGTGAAAGGCATCCCCAATTCCTGCCAGTTCTATCTGCTGTCGGATGGGTGAGCTACTGACAGTGGGGGTTAGGGGGCAATGTGGAGCACAAACCTGGGAGCTGGATCCTGGGGGCGGGCATGGGGCCAAGGAAGACTACTGTCTCTGGGGACACGACCAGGAAGAGCGCCCCCCTGCTTTATCCACATCATTCATTCTTTTCCACATCATTCACACATTTACTCCTGATTCGTACCATGTCCAATCCGTGCCCAATAGGTATGCTTCCCTGATGCAGTCTCGCCCAAACCTCACCAAGGAGCCCTGAATGGCTGAGAAAGTCAATGCTAACCTCACAAGGCCTAAGGCATGGTAGCTAAAGCAGCTGCCACCGCTGGGTGTAATACCAAAAAGCACCAAGGTCTGAACAACGACACTGGGTAGAATCAATGTGCGTTGGGGGGAGAGAGGGACATCCTGGCACATTGCCAAGTTGTCACTAGCCCAGCACAGGAGCGAAATCATGAGAAAACTGGGGAGGGAGGGGGGGAAGAATTTGTTTCTTGAAATTTCCAAAGAGGTATTGATAGAATCATTACATTGGGAAAACAAATAATCGGAACATCGTTGGCTTCCCTTATTTTATAACTTAGCATGTTGTTTCGATTTGGGGGGTCACGAAGCAGCAGGCTCGTGAGGTTTTTTTCTTTTAAGATTTTATTTATTTGACAGAGAGAGAGATCACAAGTAGGCAGAGAGGCAGGCAGAGAAAGAGGGGGAAGCAGGCTCCCTGCTGAACAGAGAGCCCCATGCGGGGCTGGATCCCAGGACCCTGAGATCATGACCTGAGCCCAAGGCAGAGGCTTTAACCCACTGAGCCACCCAGGCGCCCGTGGTGAATGTTTTAGTGCACACCAGCACACATCTTCAAGCGCACAGACAAGACCCAGTTTGAAAAGCGGGTCCATTATCTGGGGACCTAGGAATGAACATGACCCTAGAACTCAGAGATAAGTGGTGTTGGGGAAGCAGCAGCAAAGGGAGGCCCCCAGAACCGCTGTCAGAGGGGTGGGCTGGTGTAGGAAGACTCCCACTCTCACACCTGCGTTGTATTCCAGGCACCTGGCCAAGAGAATCCAGGTGGGTTCCCCCGGGTACTGCCTGATCACCCAGATGCCTATCTTGAGGGAGAAGGGTGAGTGAAGCCGCTGGCTGGTGGAGACTTCACGGAGAGGTGGGGAAAACAGGAACCTTCCGGGATGCAGAGGCTGGACTGAGTAGAGACGGGGAAGTTTTGCCCTCCAGCCCCTGACTCCAAGGCAATTAGGGGAGGATCATTTTGCAAGGACCCCCTTCCAGCAACTCTGGCCATCTGAGCAGAACCCGGGGCTCCACCTGGGACTGCAATTTGAGTATTCTTGGGCATGCCCCTGTATCTGGGGAAGGTTCTGGCGTGAGAGAGTGCCGCCTTCCTCCCTCCGCACCCAGATGAGATTGAGCCTCGCCCCGTATTTGAGAAGAAGCCCCTGGTGTGGGAGGAGGATATGGAGCTCTACTCGAGGTTTGTGGACCGTAAGGTGAGGAGAGGCTGCAGCCAGCCTGGGGTCCCCATTCCCCCCTGCGCATGAATTCCACCATTACCGATGCCACTTTGTGCCTGCTTGAGAGGCACACCGGGACGGTTGGGGGGCCCTCCTTGGAGCGAAGGGAGCGGCGGAGGGGTGCTTCCGGGGCGCGGGGTCCCGGGTCCCGCTCAGGCTCGGTCCCCGCCAGGAGGAGCTCCGTCTCAGCCACAGCAGCTACCTGCGGCAGCACCCCGAGGCCCAGGCGCTCATCTCGGACTTCCTGCTCTTCCTGCTGCTGCGCCAGCCCGCAGACGTGGTCACCTTCGCCGCGGAGTACTTCGGCCCCTTCGCGAAGCGCCACCCCCCGACCCCCGCCTTGCGCTCCTCCCACCGGCCCAGCCCCTTCCGCTCGCTGGACCCCCGGGACCCCTTGCACTAGGCGGGGCGCGGCGGGCGGGGACCAGCCGGAAGTCGGGCCGTAGCCGGGGGCGCAGCGGGGAACCGGAGGGACTCACCCCGGAGGCGCGCCTTGCGAGCTGCGGGTTTTTTTGGGGGGGCAATAAATGGGCCCCATCCCCGCAGTTCCGCTGTGGGCGCGGGAACTTTCCCTGGCCAGAGTCTTGTGTCTTGGCTAAAAAGAGGAACTGTGAACAGAGTTTATCCAGCGAACTTCACGCTTCTTCCAAGATGCTATAATCAATACTCCCATTTTACGGGTAAGAAAAGAGAGGCGCGGGAAGGTTAGTTAGTTAGTTAGTTAGTTAGTTAGCGGGAGTCAAACCTGGACGTTGGATGCTAACGTTAGACTCTTAGTCCTTAGGTTTGTAGGGATAAAGGGGCAGGGCTTCTTGGTGCCCCGAAGCATAAACCAAATTACCCTTCTTCCCGCCCCCACCCCCCACAACCAAGAAAAAGAGCAGGGGCTGCTGGGGGATCCGGACCACCATGGGCCTCGCTCATCACCTCTGAAGCCTCCCAAGACATGTGGGCCGCCAGCTCTCACCTCCACCTCCTTTTCCACTGACAGGAACCCCCAAGCTGCTTTCAGGGTCCCCAGTTACTGGCTCCCTGAGAAAAAAGGATAGGCAGGGAATCATCGGCTCCAGTCTGGCCAATGGCTTGTTTCTGCCCAGGGCTGGCCACGGCTCATCTGCAAGTATCAGGCAAGCTTCTCCAGGACAGTTGGTAACGGGCGTGCAGGCCGCATCCCCCCACTTACCCACTCATGGGCCTGCCTCTTCCAGCTGAGGGAACCCCCCACTTCCCCGACCCCCCAACCTCTGCCCTGTGATGAGGGCAGCCATGACTGCAGTCTCGGGGCAACGAGGCTTCATGGAGAACTATGACTTGAATTAAGCCTTAAAGAATTTTTCTTAAATATCTTTTCTGTCCTCATCCCTTATTTCAAAAAGAATGCATGTTCATTAGAGGAAACTGAGAAAAGGGTGCTAAACCAAAAGAAGAAAGTGAATTCACCCCAGTTTCTCAGCCTAGAGGCAGCTCCTCTTAACATTTGGCAAATATGCTCTTTACTCTTTTTTTCTGATGCATAAAAGTGGCCCATGTTCCTTTAGCATTTACTCTGTGAAGTAGTTGTTTACTGTCTTAACATTACCATTTTTTATTATTGAAGTATAGTTGCGATACAATGTTATATTAGCTTTGTGTTCAGCACGTTCTTAAAATTCCTTTTTCTAAAGACAGTTTGACTTTAGGGGCGCCTGGGTGGCTCAGTGGGTTAAGCCTCTGCCTTCTGCTCAGGTCATGATCCCAGGGTCCTGGGATTGAGCCTCGCATGGGGCTCTCTGCTCAGCAGGGAGCCTATTTCCCCTTCTCTTTCTGCCTACTTGTGATCTCTCTCCCTGTCAAATAAATAAATAAAGTCTTTAAATAAATAAATAAGCAAAGCAAAGATTACTTTGCTTTAAAAAAAATAAAATAAAGACTGTCTGACTTTAAAGATTTTATTTATTTGCCAGAGAGAGAGAGAGAACAAGCACAAGCAGGGGGAGCAGCAGGCAGAGGGAGAAGCAGGTTTCCCGCTGAGCAGGGAGCCCCATATGGGACTCAATCCTAGGACTCTGGGATCACGACCTGAGCTGACGGCAGACGCTTAACGACTGAACCACCCAGGTGCCCCCACGTCAAGCACTTCTACATAGAGTGTTTAATCTGGTCTTTAAAACTCCAAGGGACTTTTTTTTTTTTAACAAAAATGAAATCATACAGTAATACATGCTCACTGACTGATAATTACATACTTAATTATATTCTTTAAAAGTTTCAAACTTTACAGATAAGGCTGGAAACTTCTGGCCCCAATTTCTTCATGTTTTGTAACCTTTTTCCTGCATTATAACTGGCTTTCTTTCATTTAGCAGTGTATTTTGAAAGAGTTCCATGACATTATACAGTCTTCTGTTTTTGATGACTCTACCATAATTTTTTAAAAGGTTTTTAAAATCCATTTTGAGAGAGAGAGAGAACACGAAGGGGGAAGGAGCAGAGGGAGAGGGAGAGAGAGAATCCTCAAGCAGATTCCACACTGAGTACAGAGCCCAATGTGGGACTCCATCCCAGGACCCTGAGATCATGACCTGAGCCGAAATCAACAGCCTATTGTTTAACTGACTGAGCCACCCCGGTACTCCAAATGGCTCTACCATAATTTAACCAATCTCTCCCCACTGCCTGCTTTTTGTCTTTGTTTTGGTGTAGGGGCTGGGGTTTGGCTACTATAAACAGTACTGCATTGAACATTTCTCTAGCAAAATCTTCACACAGATCAATAATTATTTACCGAAGGATACGTTCTGAGAGGTGTAATTGTTGAATTGATCTTAAGGCTTCTGTTTCACGTTCCCAAATTCTACATGGGTAGGATTTCTATTAAGGATCAGCTAAAGCACTCCAGGCAGAGAAAATGACCTGAGTAAAGAGTAAAAGTAGGAAAGTGCCATGTGTGATTACGGTCCATCACTACGGGCCACAGATCTTCCCGAAGTGATGAAAATGGTCTGTACGTGCCACATCCAATATGGTAGCCACTAGTCATATGTGGCCACTGAGTGCTGGAGATATGGTTCATATGACTGGGGAACTGGAGTCTTACTTCAATTTCAATTTGGCCACATGTGGCCAGTGGCTGCCATATTGGACAGCGACAGCTCTCGAACGTAAGGTGTCTCCATTCAACCTGACAGCTCATCAAATAGTGGGTCCCTTCCACGTGCCAGGGTCATTCTGGGCAGTGGGAAATCATCAGTGACAGGACAAAGTTCTTGTCCTCATGATGCTTACAGATTCCACAGGGAAAGAGAGAGTAAACACAAGAAGTCCTTTCATATGTGCAATTCGGACATTTGTGGAAAAAGTAAATAAAGCCAAGTCGTGGGTAGACAGTGACTCAGGGTTGGGGGCTTGACTTCAGAGAGGACCCTCCCAGCATCTCAGTTGAGCTGGGATCTGAACGAATGCCAAGGAGTCCAATCTGCGGAGAGCTGTGATGGGAAAAACATTCTAGGCAGAAGGAAGAGCAAGCAAGGACTCTTGAGCATGTTGCTGTCAGGCCAAGAAGGCTGGAGCACAACAGGGCGGGAGAGGCTGGAGTACCAGAATGCTTAGTCATCGTGATGCAGGCAGGGCTGGGTCACAGAGGGCCTCCCCACCCCGCGCCGGCCCCGCAAGTTCACTTCATGTGTGGAGAACTGAAACCAAAGCTGCTTGGCCCAGTGCACCCAGAACACTCTACAGAGATCTAGACAGTCATCTCCAGTGCCTGATGTTCTGCAAGAAGGAGGGCAGTGACATCTGACCCACTGAGATCCTTCCTCTGTTGAGCTCCCTTATATCCGGCGGCTTGCTGTGGGAGAGTATCAGGTCCAGGCCCTACCTGCATGGCACACAGCCAGCCTAGAAGAGAAGCGACATCAGTCAAGGGTCCCATGAATGAATGTATGAGTGCAGAACATGGCAAGTGCTAAGAAGGAAACGTATACACACAGCAGTGGAGGGTTAAGTGTGCACTTGACCTGGCGTGGGAGCCCCAGGAGACAGAGGGAAATGAACAACTATAATGAGAGCAAATGCTAGATGGCACTTATTATTTTAATCCCTCTACACATGGTAATTCATGTGATTCTCACAACACCCCTGTGAGGTCAGTTCTATTATTGTACCCATTTCACAGATGAGGGAAACGTTAAGGCCAAGACCATGCAACTGGTTAGTGGCAGAGCTAGGATTTAGACCCAGGGACTCTGCCTTGAGTACATGTGCCCATTCACTCTGATAAACAGATCAGATGTGGCTCTCTGGAGACCCATCCCGGAACAGAGACGAGGCGTTATCCTGCTTTACATATTTCCAAAGTAGGCTTGACTGTTCACTGTCTTTCTCCTTCCCTGAATACCCAGAAACTGCCCGTTCCCTACTGCACGCCCCCTGACAGCAGCCTCACTGCTGAGCTGCTTGGGAAGGGCACTGTGCCTCATGAGGGAGCACAGAGCCTGGACCTGGCGAAATCAAAGAAGGCTTCCTGGAAGAGGTCACACGGGAGCTGCATCCTGAAGGACAAAATGCTATTTGCCAGGCAAATGGTGTGGGGGACGTTTGAGGAGGAAGCAGCATGTGCAGAGTCCTAGAGGTGAGAGGGAGAGACCTTGCAAGGTTTTAGCTACTGCAAGAGGTTCAGGATGGGATGGTGGAGGTTCAGGGAACCCAAATGAAGTGCTGCCTACCCTCCGGAGACTGACAGAGCCCGGAAGTGGGACAGGCAAATGCCCACATGCCTGCCTGCCTGTGTGTTTTTCTTTCCTCCCACAAGAAGCCATAGGTGAGCAGATAGACTAAGAGCGATGCTACAGATAGATGGAGCCCCACAAGAAAAGTCTTACATTTAGGCGCTGTACAACAGACTCTCAGCCCAACGTTGGTGACGTCCTTGGAAGGTGCTGACATGGCCTCCTGAATCTCTATGCCACGCCTCCTGACCTTTGATTGAATCTGCTGTTCCCCACAAACCAGCATTTGTGATAAAACCTGTTCTTGTTCAGTTTGATGGTCTCCTCATTTTGTTTTATGATCTATTGCGTGGAATTGTCCCCCATTATTCCATCCTCACAAATTTCCCATGTTTGAGCTCTGCTGAATCCCAAGGCTTGGGTGGGCAAGTGTGGGCACCCAACCACCAGAGGCAGCAATGTCACTAGCAGAAAATGTGTCTGGGGTTCTAAAGGACTGACAGTGGCCGATGACATTTTGGAAACCCATTTACAAAAGCAACCAGCTGTGGAGTGCTAGATGCATTTCTTGGGCTTCACAAACACCCTTTGGGGTAAATGCTTCTATTATCCCCACTTTCCAGGTGAGGAAACTGAGGCCCTAGGAAATTCCTGAGTCACAGAGCTGGTAAAAGTAAGATCCAAGGGACACCTGGGT